TCTGAAGTATAATTTTTTATTGTTTTTATATTTTTCAATATATTTATTTTGTTTGTACAAAATAAAAAAAATAATTTTTTACGATACAAGTCTTCGTTAGGCTTAACATCAACGAAAATTCAACGCGAAGCGACACGCAACGGAGAAAAATTTCAACATCGAATACATTAAACTATTTTTTCGTACATAAATCTGTTATCCGAAATATCAGTTATACGAACAACCCCAGTCCCCAATTGATTCGGAAAATCGACGCTCTACTGTATATATTATGAGGCTGATTATAAATTTAGTAAGTGAGTGGCTGCAGACACTTCAATATTAGCTTGTACACTCTCCAAACTTATTGTATTTTCTTGCAAATACAAGCATGTTCTTATGTGGAAAATTGCTTGTTCCTGTACTTTTTAAACATGTCCTTCTTCACTTGGAAATATAAACTTATGAAATGCATTGTTCAGAATTAAAAATGAAAATACATTTCTAATGCTTTCAAGCACAGTTTATTTGTACATGGTTGGAGCAGTTGTCTCTTGCTGAAATAGGCACAAAGGAATAATCTACGACAATATCTCAAAGAAGTATTGATATTTATTCCGTTTCTATTATGCTTATGCACATCTTTGAAAACATTTATTTGGAAACCTTGAATATTCTTGAAGAAATGTTCTAGAGTAAATAGATATAGGCAACCTGCAGTCCTCTGACTTTTGCTATGATCCATATAGTATGTGTAATGTATGATTTGCAATAAAATCCAAAGTTTTTAGTGTTTCAGCATGATCTCACATTGAAATGTGTTGTATGATCTCTTACAGTAAAGATACCCATGCCTGAAATAGAACTGTTTCTGGATTAATTTAATTATTTTCCAGTGCTTTGATTGGTATAAAATCAAAGCAGATTTTCTGAATTTAAATCTTTGAAAATAAACATTTAGTTTCCATAACATATACATTATACATTAATTATAAATTTTTATTCTACGATTTCTGTAAAAAAAATATATGCACTTTGTTGCTAGAAGTTAATCATTTGTTGCCATGAATAATAGAAAATTCATTTACCAGTGCTGAAGAAATTATTATTAAAAAGCATTCGTGTAAGAATTTGAACAAGATTTTAAATTGTAAAATTTGAAAGTATTCAAATTTTTAAGACTTGATCACATTAAATTTTGTACACAAATTTATTTTAGAAATGTTATGCCCACTATCCTTTATTTTTAAAAATTAAAATTATTTTGATATTTATGAATACATTTTGACAAAAAGGATAATAAATAGTGAAAAAAAATTAACAAGATTTTACCTTCAAACATTTATGAATAGAATTTTCTTGTTTTGATTATACTTAAATTATGTCCATCACAGTTAAAATCCAAATATTTCAATAGGCTTAAAATATTCAATAAAAGAATTAGGCTAATCAAAAACTATTAAAACTGTTTTTATAATTATAAATAGAAGCAATTTAATATTTTTTTTTAAAGATTAATTTGAACAACTAAAATTTCAGGATGTTTGTCTAGACTCTAGACAATAAGCAACTCAGTAAGCAAACTAACGACAGTTAATTACATGTCATTGACATGCTCGCTTAACTACTTGTTAACTAAATATACCTTAAACTAGTTTGAGGTTTATCTAGTTAACAAGTAGTTAAGCGAGCAAGTCAAATGAGCAAGTTAAATGACCTATAGTTTGCAAACTTAAAGAAAAGATTCTTCTCTAAATATTCATGTTATATTATTTGAAAAGTTTAGGTTGTTATCTTCTCTACATTATAATGAATTATGGTCACTTAATCTGAATTAGTTATATATTATAATTTTAATAAATAATAGTTTAAAAACATGATGTTATACAGAGAAATATATAATAAACTCATTGAAATTTTTATCAATTGTAATTAGCAAATAAACAACTTTTACTGTAAGTTATACATGTGACCAATCACACAAACATGCTATATGGTATTTTCTATACTACAAGACATATCATACGTTAAAGTTTTCATTTGAAAATAATTTTTAAAATAAGGACAAATATTACAAATTACTTAGTTTTTCATTCAAATTACATTTGAAAAGAGAAACCCTACATAATTCTCTATGGCTGGGATGGACAACCTTTTTCTACATAAGGATCATAATTAAAACTTTCAAACTAGCACAGGCCACACAAAAAAATGCAGGTAATCAGAATTATTTGTTCATATATAATTATAAATTAACATATATATACTTAATGTGACTTCTGGAACTGATACAAATATAATATATCTGAAAAATTTGGCAGAATATTAAGTTCCTGCTAATTTTAAAATATTTTTGAGAGGAGCGTTGGTTAGCTGATTTCTTGTTTTACTTTTTCCACAAATGAATTTGTGGAAAAAACATATTCACAACTTGCAGAAAAAACAATAGAATTTTTATTGCATACTTTCTTAAGTTAGGAAATTTATGAAACTTTTATCAAAGAATATCAAAGTCTATCAAACTTTTTCTTTGAAAAGGTGTCTTTCAGATCAAAATTACTTTGCAAGTCTATCTCCAATTGAAGTTCATTTGATACATTTTCCATATTTACTGAAAAAGTCGCTAAAAAAGAAATCTGTATTTCATTTTCTCAGCTAAGGAATAGTTTAATAAATCTAGGTTAATAGTACATAATTTGCAAAGAAACCAAAAAACTAAAGCCTTACAGCTCTACACAAAGTGTCAAGTGAAATCAAGTTAAACTACAGGACATGTACAAAACATGCTCTTGGTATTTACTACAACTATAGACTGCTCAATGTCGGTATTTTACATTTTTGTTTTACTTTTATTTTATATATTTTTTGAAATATTGTGTGTGATGCAGGCTGCACAAATGCTAATGAGAACCTGGAATTGTTAAACCTTGCTCTATGGAATACATGTGTGTTTAAATGTAACCATTATATTAATTTAAATTTATCATTACAAACTTGAGGAGCAAATGACAGGGTTGATAATTCGAAACACTAGTACAGCAAAATTCAGATTTTAATATATAAGATAATCTAAATAGTCTGGAATCACTATATATTGTTTGAAAACAAATTTTGTTCTATGTCTCCAGATTTCTTAGATAATTTGCATAATATTCAATAATAATCATTATTTGAACCAAAGTGGCAATATTTATGCTAAAACTGAAAAAGTGAATTCTTGTGCATCATAATGATGAAAATCGACACACTTATTATTGTTCTATTCCATTTATTAGACAATTCAACAAGCATAATTAATAAATTCAATTCAACTTCTCGTAATCTTTTCAAAACATTTATATTTCAATAACCATATGATCAAATTCTACATTTGTTACGAATTCAGGTAATTTGTTAAACACTAAATACATATTTTCTATTAATTGCTAAATGAAAATCAAACTAAAAATTAAAATTAAAGTAAGATAATAACAACAAAAAAAATTATTTTTGCATTTCTTATTAAAAAAAAAATATTTAAAAAAAATAATTAAAAAAATAGAAGAAATGTGTACCTGAATTCTGCTTGTTGTCTGCATCTGTACAGTAGTCAAATTGTCAAAAAGTCAAATAAGGGAAGATCATGCAGAAAATAGACAAAAAGAGTGACAGATTAGAAATGAATAAACCAAACCATCTAGACCAAAATATATAAATATAACAAAAAAAATTAACTTTTAATCTGTTAATAATTGGAGACATGGAACCCTTAGCAAAGCAATGAGAGCAGAAATTCTTTATGAAGCAAAGAAAAAGAGATCCCCAAAAGAAATAAGAAAAGAAAAATGGATGTAGAGTTAATACATGAAAATAAAACAAATATACATATAATTTTTATTGATTTTATAGAAAATTGAAGAGAAAGATTTTATTCCAACAGAACAAAATGTACACCGAAATGTCTGGAGAATGCAGAAGAGTGCAGAGGAGTTTTGCATAAATGACAAAAACCTGCCACCACAACCACAAATTTATTAATATTCGAGCAAATATATTATTGCTTAGTGAGTTTAGTAGTTCAAAATTATTACATAAAAAATAATTTTTTTTTTAGAATTCCATTTATAATATTCTGGAAAATTCTTACCCTTACTGTAGAATACAGGAATGTAATCAGTTGATAAATGTGTTTTACTTTTTATGCCAACAAGAAGAGGGCTTCCTCTCCTAAATTATATTGTTAAAATATTAAAATTCATTAAAAATAAAATCCTAATTTTCCTGGATATTTGTTTTTATATAAAAGTTCTTTACCGAGTAGCCACACATTGTCCTGGATATTTTCTGCTTTTGAACACAAGAGCAAAAGCACCTTCCTGTAATATAAATTTAAGATAATCATTTACATAGATAATTTCATTAAAATGTTTTGTTAAAATGGTATTTTCACATACTTTAACTCAAATAACTTAAATATATATTCATATTCCACCTATAATTTGATAAAATGACTATTAAACTATTGATACTCATTCATCATATTTCAAAAATCAAATTCTGCTTCAAATATAAAAATTTGTGCAAATCAGATGCCAGTTTTTAGTATGAGTAAATCAAAAGATATGTGACACCAAACTTAATGAATATATTTTTGTTTCATGCATTTAATTAAAAACTTAAATAAAATTAAAAATGCTCTGATATAGAAAAAATGAAAAAAGGTCAGTATATGTATCAAAAATTAAATCTATTGTCATTAAATGTTAATACTACTATAGAATGAATCTCAATTATACATCTCAGATATAATTTACAGTTACAAATTGTTGGAATGTTGATTTTTGGCTATGTTCCAAAACATTGAAAAGAACAGTTCTTTTAAAAAAAGCTGAATGAATTCACCATTCCAATGATTTCTTGATTTGTTATCAATGCAAGTAAAAAAAAATATAGAAGAAATTGTATAGCAGAGAACAAAGCAATTGAAATTTTACTCATTTTCAATCATACATGATATAATGAAATAGCATTATTAATTCCACTTCCACATCTAAGAGAAGTTGTAAAATTTGGTCCTAAATTATCATCTCATTTATTTTAAGGAATATTTTGAAACTTAAAATTATTGTAAAGCATTTTAAAAATGGTATCTGAATTTATAGTTCCTTGTAACAGGAAGAGAATTTTTAATCATCTAATCATCAAATGTCCCAAACATATAAAAAGAAATATTCAAGTGTATGATAAAAATTAAAATATCATTTATAATAATTCAATTAAAACATACCAATTGTTGAATGACTTGTTCAACTAATTCTCTGAAAGAAAGATCAGGATGATCATCATGAATTAGTTTAACTAATTTGGCAATTACTTCGGTATCAGTATCAGATTCAAATTCAAATCCTCTCTTCAGCTGAAAGAATCAAAATGAAAATATATTTTTAATTGTAAATCAAAATTCTAAAATTTTTTTGATTACTTAAAATAAATATAAAGAAAAAAGTCTTACCAAAAGTTGTTTAATATCTTTGTAATTGGTAACAATTCCATTATGAACCACAACAAATTCTGAAGAAAAATATAAGAATTAAATTTCTCATCTACCAGTACAATAATATTTTTTACACTTATAAGAAGAATAAAATTATTTATACCATTATTCACATCCGATCTCTGAGGATGACTGTTGGGAATACTTGGAGCTCCATGTGTGGCCCATCGTGTGTGAGCAATTCCAACGTGAACTGTATATTCCTGATCAAAATCTAGATCCTCATTATCTACCAAAATAGGAATGAAAATCAATAAAATGTTTAAATATTAATAAAAAAAACATTTACTATAATTAGATTAAAAACCTTGAACTAAAAAGCAATACAAACTCTTTTTTTTTTTAAATTATTAAACTTGTAAAAAAAAAATACAAACTCCATATCTGATCTTCCAACATCTTTACTTTTCCACTTCTTCGAATAATAGACAAAACTGAACCATTGGCATTTCCATCTACAGCAATACCTGTCAATACACAATTTTTTAAAATTATTTTTTTGTTTTAAAAAGTAATAAAAATGTAAAAATATATAAATCTGATCTTATTGTTAATAAAAATTATAATTATTATTATTACCTGCCGAGTCATAACCACGATACTCCAACCTCTGCAGACCTTTAATGAGATATTCTAAAATTTCTCTACGTGTTCTGGGTTGCAAATAGTTCAAATACGCAAATATTCCTATAAAAATATAGAAGAATTAAACTATAAAAAAAATTCTATACAAGTTCTTTATTCATCTAAAATTTAAGAAATTTGTAAAAAATAATTTTGACAAGATTAATAGTCAGCTGCATGAAACATAGATTGACATCCCGCTTCTAGCAGTCTCTTAACAATTTGTTATTAGCATATTATGCACATTTCACCTACAAAATATCTGCATTATGATTTCCATAATCTGACAAGCGAGATAAATGATAGGATAAAGACAACTTTAAAGAAAAAGGAAAAAACATTTATAGTAATTTTAATTCAAGAATAGTTTTACCAATAAAAAATTTAAGTTGTTGATAAATATTAATTAACGATTTTATAAATTAAAAGGAAAAACTTTTGTAAAAAAAAATTTGAGTTATTTTAGTTGTTGTAATAAAAACTTAAAAAAATTGGTTTTAAAGTCAAGTATATATACTTTTTTATAATTTATATATTTCTGAGAATATAACTATTTGTTCTTGAAGTTGCATAAGAATTAACTTTAAAAAATGCAAACTGTTTTGCAAATTTCAGCAGTAACATGTTTGAAATGCTTGCATTCTTAGAGGCACCCACTACCTTAATGTTGTAAATCTGATTAAAGTATGTCACATTTTTACATCAACTTAATAATTTTTCTTTAGTAATGAATGCTTTTGAGAGTACAACAATAGATAAATTAACATTAAATTCTTTAAAAAAATGTTAAATTAACATTTTAAAAATACAAAATTCTTAAGGAGATTTAAAAATCACATTTTAAGTACACTTAGGAAGATCTTCAAAATGTAAATCCGATAGGCACATAACCAGAAAGCATTAAAGTTTGCTAGAAATTCTTCACTTTAAGGAAAGGAATTGAAATTATATTCTAAATATGCTATAAATTATAAACAGAAAAAATGAATATATTAAAAAATTAACATCTGGAGACAAATAAACAATATCTCTCACAAGGCTGCTATCATTGCATATACATAAGAAACAATAATGTCAACAAGATGACTTTAACCTTTCCATTTAAAATGATTTTACAGAATTTTAAAAATCTGTAACAAATAAATAAATAAAACAAACATTCAACGTTACATATTGATTTACATGAAAATATATTGTAATGTCTAATGTTACAGATAGAAAGTTGACCCCAATGTTTTTAATGACCTTTCTACAATTGCTGAATGTCATAAAAAATTCAAACCTCTTTCAAGCTTTAACATTCATATTCTTTATGTGTATTTTTAGAAGTAGATATGTCCATCAAACTGTTAACAGGTATGCAAAACAGGGTTGGAGTTCAGTTATAATTTAAATAATTCATGATTGATAAGTAATTCATTCGAGTCAAGGCAAGCAACATTAACCAAGAATTTCTAGTAGTAGTAAAGGTTTAAAAAATAATTATAACCTAGGCAAGTTTTTTCTGTAGTCTTGTCATTTGGAAAGACAAAAATTTTTAAATCAATTTTTATTGTTTAGAAAGACTATTAAAAAATAAAAATTTCTACTGAAGTTTGCTATTGGGTATATATATTAGTGAAGTGAAACCTATATAATAAATGTATACAGTTTGTCCCCTGGAGTTGTCTCTTTTCAGAGAGAACTTTTTTGTTTTAAAGACATTAAAATGTATTTTTTTAAAACTTTTCATTATAGAAGCAGTAAATTTAATATACTAAATTTTGCCAATGAACATTTTTAACTGTTTTACATTTTTTACAGAAGCATAAAAGATTGTCTCTGTGAATGAAAACTTTTTTGGGTTCCTGGTGATTGTGACAGATTTATGAGGATAATTTTTATACCTTCAATACAGTTTAAATTAAATACTAAAATTATATTTTAAATATGAACAAATAAAGAAGCTTTATAAAATCAAATCCATTATACTTAACAAGTCAAATAGAAATGATGCTTAGGGACCGTCCATAAATTACATAAGGGCGATTTCGGCAATTCTAGACCCCATCCACTCGTGTAAGAAACCGTAATATTTTCTTTGATTAAATATTTTACTCCCATAATAAAAAATGTGTAGAGCATGAGTCTGCTAGCATTATTATTCTATCACATCACACGAGATGGCATTGGTACAATGAGCGTTCTTAATAGAAACCGTCAAATTGAAGCTAAATTCAAAACTCCACCACTCAACGAGATCAAAAAATAAAACTAAGAATATTATGTAAGACGAGATCTATTACCCCCTACCCGAGTAAGAAATTGTAAGAAATCCTTGACACCCACCCACTCCAAAATACCTTACGTAATTTATGGACTGCTCCTTACATATGTCAAGTAAATTTTTTGTTGTATATAGAAAAAATGAACTTGTGTTAAATGCATCTTGATTATAAACTGAAAAATCCTAATGACAATTTCATATTATATGTATTATATGTCACTATATCTATACAATACATAATTTTGTAAAATGCAGATTTTTATCATTGAAAAATATACATTTAAGTCAATTTGAATGTCTTTCTATTGAAATGTATCCAAAATTGAAAACCTTTCCAATTCAAATTACTGACTTAAAATAAAAACAGAACAAAGTTTAATTAATATTCATATAAACAATATACAGATATACAGTAATTTGTATTTTAAAAAAAAACGAAGTCTTTAATTAAAAGTGTAATAGATCAGAATTTATATTCTGTTTCTTGAATAATTTCTCCCCCTCTTCTTGCCCTATAGACAGTAACATAGCTTTTATTTATGCATTTCATAGTTGTAATCCAGTGCAATTGAGCAGCTAAGTACTGAGAAACAAAAACTAGCATATCTAAATAGACTACCTGAACAATTTCTAAAGATATAAACAAACTTGAACCCTGTCCCCTTGGTGTGACAGATAGCTACCACAACTATCCATTCTAAATGATATTATTCAATGTTAGATTTCTTGTGCAACATATAACAGATAATATAAACAGCCTGTTTTCTTTTTAAAAGCTGTATTTTTTAACAAAAACAAAAAGACAGATGTATTGTTAGTAAAACAAGTAAGTGGCTTAATATGCACTGATTGTTTCCACAATGCATAACTCACTAGAAGACAATCAACATAATAGGTTCCAGAAAAAGTGATACAATAAGTTAATAAAAAATACATTTTACTGATAAAATGCAAATTTGATATTATTTAATGTTTTCAGCAAGTTATTCAAGTTACTATCTTCAAGTCAAATATTAAAAAATGTGATAAACAATACATAAAGTCTTCACTTTAAATTTTAAACAAGTTTAAGTTTTAAACCAAAAATAATAACAGAGTGCTAACTTGGGCAATTTATATTAGCATGAAACTATTAAAATCATTGAAAATAATATAATAATGAATAACTTTTAATATATATATATATATACACATACATACATACATACATACATACATACACATACTTGCTCAATAAAGCAAAACAAAATAACATGAAAAAACAATATCACAATAGATTGATTGCAGTCAATATGTTAATCTCAAATAAAGCAATTTCAAAATGAATTTTTCATGTCAATAAATATATAAATTATATTAAAAATTTATGAATTTTATTAAATGCAGAATAATCTTTATTTAAATGGTTTAAATTATAGTTACGAAAGGAAAGGCATCTTTCATATAATTGTCTAATATTTGTTTATACATTTTATATTTCCTGGAATGTATAAAAAGTTGTTTTTGACTGTTAATCTCTTCATTTAAATTCCATTTTAAAAAGGGAAAAAAAAAGAGGTTGACTAAAATTAATATAATGAAATGATATGTCATAAAACAAACTTCAACATTTATCCCATATGGATGCAAAAACCTGTTTTTTAACTTAAAAAAATTGCATTAACCACCACAAGTCATTTAAGCATGATAACTAAAGGTTACCAAGATTATTATATACCACCCTTACTGACCTATTTCTTCCTCTAGAAAAGTTAGAAACGATACCTGTTTATTGTATAAGGACAATGAACTGTATTTAGAGCATTTTTGTATAATAAGTTCTAAAAAGCAATTTTAAAAACATTTTTTTCATATCTATCCTTCACTTTCAAGAACGCTTTCTCCACATTTGATTTCTGGTTTCCGTCTTCATAAAAAAAATTTTCTTATAATGCATTTTACAGTTTTAAATATGCAATTTCTACCAAATTTCAACAAATTTTGATAAAGATTTTGCACATATTAAAAACATTTATCTGCAAATCTACATGTAAATTCAACAACAAACTCATGAATTATGGATCAGTGGTTATATACATGTTTTAATACTGATCATGACGTTAAAAATTTAAAAAGTTAAATGTTAATGTTTTAATAACAATATACTTTAAATTATTTATTATCTGTTGAGATAGTTCATAGTGCCCTTTCTCATTTAGTGCCTGAGGCATGTGTCCTTATCAGCCTCTCCCTCACTACATTCCTGTCAAAACTTTTAAAATTTAGCTAAAACAACAATGTAAATTTAATCTTAAATAAGAAAAAATATTATAAAAATGATAGCAGCAAAAGCTCCATCTTAAAAGAGTATAATTTATATGTATAAAATATTACCAGTTTAACTATAGAAGAGAATTTTAAAACATTCAAAACAATTACTCAAATATTTAATCATTTGATATGATGTGAAAGTTTAGATCAAGGAAAATTTTATACAATATTTCAGATAAGCATTCACATGTAAGAAAGAAAAGCATCAGACTAAATATTTTATATTATCTTACGCACAACTTATAAAATTTTTTTTTGCATATTTATAAAGATAATATCGATTGGAAATAAGAAAATTTAACCTTATCACTCAAATGACTATACTATATAAAATATGGAGGTCAACTTGTATATTTGGCAAATGCTAACTTGTTTTTGAACTCATAATAAGAAGGAAAGAAAAAAAGTTTTATTTCTATATATCAGATCTATTCATAATAAAATAGCTGTAAAAATCATCTATTTATTTCTGCAAAAGGAAAAGTAATTTATTAAAAATTTATTTCAACAGAAATATTAAATAATAAATAGATTTTGACATTTATTTACTTTTCTAATTTTCGAAACAGCATTTGAGTCATCGTATAAAAAGTATTTTTAAATTAAAGAGAAGTTTCTTTTAGACATAATTTAAAGAAGCTAAGTTGAAATTTTTGCATGGAATTTGAATATATTAAAAATATTTGCTTGGATATAAATCAACATTCATAAAATAGATATTGTGCACTGTCAATTCGTATGTCATATTTTAGGTAAGATAAGTATTATTAATAAGTCCGTAATGAGATAAAACTTATCAAAAACAAATATAAAACGTTATTGACATTAGTTACATACATTTTTGAAAGGAGAAAGAGAGAGACGAAGAATTTTGAGATTTTAAAGCCGAATCTCTGACAGACACATGGATCGAAAATCCTCCATAAATGTGCAAATCTTAACGTATTTTCAGATTCAATTACATTTAATTAATGTTTATTAACAAATTAATTAACAAACAACACAAAACTAGTTTATTTATCACTTTTTGTATTAAAAAAATGTATTAAGATGTTTTATGATAGCAATAACACATTAATGTTGAATGTAATAAAAAAAATATAAATTTAACAATAAGAAATTAATGTTTAAATAAAACTTAAACTTATATTCAATTTTTTAACTGTAATATATCAATGAAGTTAAATATATGTATATAAATAAATTACTGAAATAATTTTGAAGTAAAAAAAAATAAAAGTTTTAAATGAAGAAATTGTTATTTAAGAATGAGCACATTGAATTATTTATTGTTATTTTTAACAGGAAATTCAGGTAAAGAGGTACATTTATGGGTTGTACAGTACATTCTTTCCTGAACAACAAATATAGCTTATAAATACAAAAATGTTTAAGAAAAATATGATATAAATGTATGCATATTACTCATTTTAAACTAATACATTTACTATGTTAAATGTAACTAATTATATTACTCACCGCACATCTTTAAAAAATTATACTCTTGCACACGATTTGTGGTTTAGTAAAACTTGTAGAATTGTCAGTAGAAGAACGGTGAACCTTTGAATTTAAATACAAATCTATTAAACCTGTTTTTCTAGAAAATTGTCATCCAACGTGGCTTCCCATGTGACGTCTAAACATGTGTAGAAGGCGTGGTTTACGTCACACTCATTCGAACGTATTATTGGTCGTACCGTGTTACGTATAAATTTTAAAAATTATATATTAAAATAATTAATTATTACATCGATTTATTTTATTAAAACATACAAGAAAAAATTATATTTAATATTAGTTATAACGTTATTTATTTTTTAATGTGTTTTCAAACGTATATAGTACTGTACCTAACATAAATGTCACGTGTAATATATTAATTGTTCTGTCACATGTTAAGTACTGTACTGTACATTCTAACACAAATGCTACATATAATACATATATATATTTGTTTAGTTATAATTAAATACATAATTGTTTACATATGTGCGTTTTTACATACAGTATATTTAACAATTATATTAATTATATTGTATTTTTAAAGAAATATATATGACACAAACAGAAACACATAGAATATGTGTAGTATATGTAGCATTTGTGTTGTAATATATATATATAATATTTTACACAAGTCTTATGTATATGCTGTGTTTTTCTCATGTGTCATGTGTTATATGCACGTATTTTGAAAAATTTGCAGTACAGCTGTCACAGTAATTATATTTTTAAAACACATAACATATATAACACCCGTGTTAAATATTAAATTTTATGCATTTTATTTTAAAAAAAATACGATACACTTTTTTATGAAGCATTACATTTTTTACGTTATCTAACTTATATGTGTCAAATATAATGTAGAACAATTGTTATATTGTAATATAATGCTTGTAATGATATAGCATTAAGCACTTAATTATATATTATAATTAAATTTTATATGTGATATATATTATTATACTAAAATTTATAATGTGGGTAATATGTAAGAATTATAACATATTTATAAAATATATCACACTTTCTGAGTATTAAAAGAAATGTATACAGTATATGTTTTTCTTAACGGGGGACAGTAAGAAGGTCCTTTCCGCTTTGTGGGCAGTAAGAACGTCCTTTTCCATACCCAGACTAACCAGTGACCGAATAAGTAACACCATTGAATACTACTAGTGATAGCGGGTTTACGCCTGGAGTTTTCCTGGTTTCTTCACGTGTCTAAGACTTAAATAGGACCAGTTTCTCATAGAAAGTCTTTTCCAGGATGGTTTATGGGAGCCCCATGGCAGATAGTCTGTGGAACATCGATCCAAATTCCATCCCATCGTGGATTCTGCCAGGCCCACAATAGAGACTATTGAACGAGTCCGGACATATCAGAGACAGAAAAATTTCTGAGGTTTCTGTTTGGTTCGATTCCGGATCCTTCAGAGTGGGAGGCTGATTCCAACTGCCGAGGCCATTCGACCATTGAAATATATTCCTAAGTTTTTACACTTTATTTTATGTAATAATTATGTAATATAAAAATAAATAATTTTATAACACTTTATTGTAAATGAAATATATTTAAGTACATTTTTATATTTTTAAATATATATTTTACATTTTATTAATTCATTAATTTGTTTTAAATTTATAATTTTTAAAATTATTATTTTTATCGTTGCAAACAGGATACTGCTCATTACATAATTAAAAATTCATTCGTCAGCAAGTTCATAACTGATTTATTCTGATGCATCTGACAAAATACGTTGTCAAATGTATAAAACAGAATAAATCTGTTATATAACTAATTTATTATATACATATTAGGGTTTCTCATTTCCCGGTATTTTGCTTGTCCCGGGATAGAATTAATTATTTTTAAGGTATACAAAATATCTTGAAATCAAATGATATAATTATTTTCCATTTTTTAAAGTAATTTTAAAGTTTTGTAACCTCCAAAATCATATTAATAATGCTGTGTTAGGTCTATAGGCCTATAATAAAAATTACCTTTAAATAACGTAGAAATTTTCACAAATAGAAAAAAATTAATTAAAGTTTGCTGGAAACTGCATACAACAACAACAAAAAAAATGTTTTGAATTGAGTTAAAAATTAAAAAAATGAACTTCTAATTTAGAAGGTAATTTTCGTTTTTTAAATAAAATATAATACAAAATATTGCAAACTTTTATAAGATTTTAAAAAGCAAAGATGGTCAATACTCCGATAACTCACTCTAATTCTTATTTTAGTAATGAAAAGTCTTGCCACCGAGAATGCCCTTTCCGATTCAATTGATGTGATTGGAATAGTGTTTAATGCATTTAAGAGAAGACAGATATTATGTGTTTTTTCACCTGTAGCCTGGAAGCTTTCGAGTTCGTTTTCGAGATTGTAGTACTTCTTTCGCTCTCTAGTATTCTTGATTTGTCTACCTTGGCTGCTTTAATAGCGGCATCAAGCTTAGAGCTCGATAATTCGGCAATTCATTTGGCTTTAATAATCAGGTTTATGAAGAAAAACTTCATACTTGCAGACTTTGTACTCGTTTGTATCCTTGCCCAATTTGCACAATCTGGCGTCAGGCATTTATTGAAGCTACTGGGCATGGTTAAAACTCAAGACAGCGTAAGCACAATTATTCCAGATATTACAGGTTCCGACAAGTAAAGAATTTTTATAGTCATGCCACAAATAAGCTATATATTGATTATTGACCATTTGTGACATGCTATAACGAGCAAAAATTTAAAAAAACGAATAGATAGGTTTAAAATTAATAAATACAAATGTATTCTGGCAGTGAATGAGTTAATTATGCTTTCTATTTGCAAAACTCCTCAACCTTAACACAAAATAAGAAAAAAAGTGAATTTTTAAGAAATTTGCGGGATTTCCCGGGATAAGAAAAATTTCCCGGGATATTTCCCGGGTTAAAAAAATAACCGGGATCCCGGGATCCCGGAATCCCGTTTCAGAAACCCTAATACATATAATACTAGCGGACAGAGGACAACCCGCAGGTAGAACGGGATAAAATACAGTATTAAATAAAAAAAAGTATTTAAAAAATAAAAAATTGATATTTAATTTCTAATAAAACTAACTTGAAGTTTGGACTACGTAAAATATATTTATGTTCCCAATAACAAGTACAAAAATTAATTTCAAAATTTCTTTATATACCACATTTTAAAGTAGTAAATCCAACAGAACCCAACTTTCTCTGGCAAAGTCCTATTAGCTAACAATTCAGTGAACCTGACACTGAGTTATTACAAAACCTCAATGATGCAAAAAGTTTCTTATCGATTCCCTATAAAAAATGATAGGGAAGTTTCAGATACAGTATTTTGGAACACGATATCTCCCGAACGAATCATCGGATCCGAGAAACTTATTGAACATCTGAAGATCCATCTCCATCTATCGACATCTAATTCGTTCAAATCCAACAAGAAATCTAAGAGGAAGAGAAATCTAGAAAGAGTTAAGGTAACAAAAAATCTCTTTAGCGTAACGTATGTACAGTACAGAGAATAAATTTTATTTTATTATTTTATAATTGTAAATATAGTGGCGGCCGGATGGCCGAGGAGATTAAGGCTCAGCCTACTGCTCTGGAGAACCCGGGCGAATAACTTCCAGTAACTTTTTCGGAATGGTCTGCCCCGAGTATGTCGACTCTGTTTCTCACCACCCAGACGCTTCTATTGTGAACCTAATCGAATTTATGATGGCTGTGATTAAAACGGTTCTCTTATCGTCCGCAAGGCAGAATTAAAAGTGGAAAAATCTTGAATATAGTAATGTAAAGTTGTTTACATTATAACCTATAAAATGTATTTATATTTAAGCAAAAAGTTCTAAATATGAATTTGGATACTTGTAAAGTTTATCATGTAGCCAATCGTAACAAAGGGTTTGATTATACATAATCATATAGATCTTAAAATTTCTTGAAAGCAATGGTATAACTACAAAACAGTAGGATTAGCTGCATGTTGAATTCCGTTCTTACATTATAGGTTTGACCAAAACCATTATGGATAGATAAGAAAACACTCTTGATATCTTTGAATACTAAGTGCTTCTCAGGGCCCTAAGATTGCGTGTGATCGAGGCAATAAAGGTAACCGACCATCGCTCTGAGGGCCCGGGTTCGAGTTCTGGAACAACTCACAAATTTTTATAGACGGTTTGATCTAAATGTAATTATGTATTGATCTAATGTATTGAACGCAATCTCGTCCGTCAGGTCATTCCACTAAGAGCTTTATGAAGTCCATAATGAGCGTGAAAAAAGATCCTTTTAATGCCCGCAAGACTAAAAAGTTAAGGACGTTACTGAAAGTGGCATGAAATTAATATAAACTTTTAAATATTAATAAGAAACGTTAGTGAATATGAATAACATAAATATGAAAAATGTTAGTGAAAATGAATATAAATCATTTAAATATGTGGGACTATATTTATTTATTTGTATACGACAACGCGACAGGTGGGCGATCTGCCAAAAGGAATGCCTCCCGGGATGACTTTCTATGGAAAACTGGCCCATATTTCGGTGTTACAAACGTGAATAAAACCCGAAAAACTCCACGTGGCCAGCCCGTATGCCAGGGGCAAACCCACGACCAAATAAATACTAGAGTTTCAGTGGTTTTATCCACTCCGACACTGGTGGACAGATAGGCTAGTGTACACAGTAAGTTTAAATATTTATATAGGCTATATAAATCGCTGCGCATAAAAAAAAATCATTAAATATGCCATAAAAATTAGTAATATTTTACAAATATTTTAAATAAAACGAATGTAATTATGCATAAAAAATCTGATATATAGATGTAAAATTATATAAATAGATAAAAATTTATCTAAATTGATATTAATCTGTATTTTCCAAAAAATAACTTTTAAAACTACCTATGACTTTTAAAGAATTAGTAAATAATTTTTATCTTTTCCGATATAATTTTGCTTTTATCAAGGACAAATAAAGTTGATTAATTAATTTTCCTGCTTGAAATTTCTATCTAAAAATAAAATAATAATAATAAAAACTCGACTAGTTGAATTTTATGTAAAATACAACATAAATAATTACAAGACTGACCAGTTTAATTAAATGATGTTACATTGAACAGGATGGACTGGTCAAGAATCCTACAATTTTAACTGCCCTGTACTTCTTAGAATTTGTCAAAATGTACAGTAAAATATATGTAAATAGTAGATTAAAACTTTTTAAAGTTTTATTATGTTTAAAATTCTAAAAAATTAATTTAACTAAGCAAATAAATGTATATAAACAGTTTTATCAGTATGACGTATATTAGGACTTTATATGTCGGATAACGTACAGTTGCATTATGTAAATAGGCTATAGGAGAAAAATTGTGTTCAAGATATGATTAATATATATAATTTTATATAATATCTAAAACGAAGATAATATTCTGTCTGAGAATTTACGCCTTATCAATTGAATTTTAGCTGGGCAACTCAAAAACCTTTTCCTATTTTTGGCATTGAATACTAGTTTGTGTTATTAATAATAAAATCAATTATCTTCCAATAATAATAGAAGTAAGTGATAAAAATACTAATAAGGAGAAAAATATTAAAAAGTTGAAAACATAAAGGTCAATCATTCTAATTGGCTTGTAGTTTCTTGTCTTGCCTTTGTTATTTTCTATTAAATAGCGTCAACAGGTTCTAGCAGGTTCTAGCATTCATAAGAACCTGTAAGAAATGTAACAAAAGGGCATTTCTTGTCCATCCATTCAATAGGATAATGGAGATAAAGAACAATTCGTGATCAATTATCAATTTTATATAAGAATCCGGATCGAATTCGAACAGGCCCACCAGTAGCCTAGTGAATAAAACCATTGACCATTAGTAATTAGTAGCGGGTTCGCACCTCACCAGCAGGCTGGCCTGCGTGTAATTTTCTGGATTTTCTTCACATGTCTAAATAAAAACCAGTTTTCAATAGCAAGTCCTCTCGGGAAGCACTTCCGCTTGGCAAATCGTCCTTGTGTTTCATGAACTTCGTCCATTAATTAAATCTACACCCCGGATTCGAACCAGGGATCCTTCATTGACTATACGAGAGAAATAAAATCTAATAAAATAGGAAGTGGAAACTAAATCTTGCTAGTATTAAGGAAGAAAATTCAAACATTTCTCAATTGAAAAATATTAAGTTGAATTTATTGACGATTAATTTTTCTAATTTAAAATTAAACAAATAATTTCTTTTCCATTACATAAAATCAAAATTTAATAATTTATTACTACAATATAAAAATATAGGTCAGGAAATAGCACTTCAATCTTAATAATACAGTAAGGAAAATATATTTTTAGATGTTCCTGTATAAAAAAAACCACCTAAGATTAGTAACTTTCAAAATATTTAATCTTTATTTTTGGAACTGAATTATTGTTACGAATTGTCATGCCAGACGTCCCGGTTTGACTGGGACAATCGCGGTTTTAGGGCGATGTTCCAGAGTCGCGGCCGGTCTGTAATTTTGTCTCAATTAGAGAAAAGGTATCAAAATTTATGTAAATTAATTGGAAATATAGAATAGCAACTTTCGGAAGCTCCCTAAACCAAGAAAGTATGGCTTGATCTTGACATCCAGTGCCAGCGGGGCAGTGCACTATTGTCAGTTCCCATTAGTATTTCAGTGCACCTCTACTTTCTTCCATCCCCTTTGTTAGATTTTCTTCATTAATGCTAAAAAGGTTCCGTCCCCAGTGTAGGGATCTCGTAGTATTCTCTGTCTTTGCTCTTATTTGATACTACGAGCCTTCAGTTAGTCGCTACTCTAATCGAACTCTACGATTAAATGTCAGATCAGCGCTCCCACAAAGTGGCGCTGGTTGCACTCGAGGCTAACTTGGCCTTGAAAACAAGGAATGGGATTGCCCATGTGTCAATGGACAAATATTGTTCATTAATTTCTTTTATATTTGCAGAATAGGCTGGAAGTGGTGAATTTTCTGTTGTTTGGGTTTACTTGGGGATTAGGAAAAGAAAAATCGAGGAATGTGCCTCAATGAACTGGCGCCCCTGGAGTTGACCATCTGTAGCTGGTTCTTGCGGAGTAGCTTGTTCGGCAGCCGAATTTTTCGTTCGGAAACAGGTGCAAATATGAGTTAAAAATTTTCTTCGTGAACCGAATTGTTCTAAAAGCGAGGCGTTCGAAATCCGAGGTTTGACTATTTTATAACGTTGCAAAATGCCAAATTACATTTTGATTTTTCTGAAAAATCTTTTAAATTAAATTAAAACACAACGAATCGAATTTTTAATACTTTCCATCCGTGTAAACAATAAAAGGGTTTTATCATGTTCATCTTAGATTCAGCCAAGCCAACTACGGAGCTGCAGGATGATGAGAGACAGAATCCAACAGATCCGGATAAATGTACCCATGAAAATTTCTCAACCAATTCGAACTTGAACCCGGATTACTCAGAGTGATGACTAGTGTTTTTATAGGCCAAATTGAATATTGTTATTAGAATTGAAATTTCTCCGAAGATAAAGGAAGTTTTCAGTTAAATTTAACATACTTGGAACTGCAACTAAAGCAGACTAATAGTTATTTCAACAAATTGCTAGATCTAATTCGTAACTTGTAAAATGTTTTTCCTTTTTTATTTGACCTAAATATCCTTTCTCGTTGTATTTTCGGTAAGGTCATTTCAGATTTAAATTCAAAAAGTGACATTGCCACCTTTAATCGGGTCGAGAGCAAAGATCTCATTTTCATTGAAACATCTGGATCCGTAATCTGGACAATGCGATTGATTTAGACATGTTGACTTTAATTTTGCTCATTACGAGTGGGATCTTGCAATATGTAGGAAAAGTCTAACAGTACTATTCAGTGCAAACTTGTTACAGATTAGGTCTGATACATGACTTATTTGCAACGGGACTGATAAATTTCAAGTCTTCAATATAAAACAGGGAAGCCAGATGGCCAAGCTGTTATGGTGGTGGCCCATCGCTCTGGGGGACCCGAAATTGAATCCGGACGGAATTTTTTGGTGGATGGTTCGTGAATCACCACCCAACCATCCAATTGTGGGCCTGGTTGAACCTATAATGGGCTTGCTAAATAGAAATCCTCTTTAAAATAATACTTAATGATAAACACCAAAATATTTTGATTGCAGAGACTAAAACTTCAGTTGCAAATTGCTTAGCCATAAAGAAACTTGTAACATTTTTAGCTAAGTGCCAAGAATGTTGCAAATTTACTCATATTACTTGTGGAAAATTGTATAAAATAATTTAATGTAATTTTTCAGAATTATAGAAAAAATTTAATAATGAAAATTCATGAATAAAATTTAGAATATTTATATAAACTTGAATGCTATCATCTTTAAATAATAAAATAAACTAAAAATGGAAGATGGTACAAATTATGTTCATTTATAGATATAGTAATAGATTGTTCCAATAGATATAGATTGTTACAATTATATCTTATTGATTGTATTGGAACAAACAAACCTATATAAACCAACAGAGGACTACTACAAGGAGATCCGTTGTCCCCATATCTTTTCAATTTTTATCTATATGACCTAAATACTTGTTTTCAAAGAGACGAAGATGGCATTCAAATCGAAAATCAGACAATACATACCATATCGTATGCCGATGACATTGTGTTAATAGCTCCTACAGCAGCTGCGCTCCGTAGAAAGATTCAACAAATTTGTGAGTACTTAGAAAAATTAAGAGTTAAAATAAATCCAAATAAATCAACAATAATGATATTCAGAAATGGTAGTAATGTATCCAAAAAGCACATGTCCTTTTTTATTAATAAAGAAGAAGTGAAGATAGTTAAGGAAATAAAATTTTTAGGAATAACATTTACACCAAACCTTTCGTTTGAGAAACATTATAAAAATTCAATAAATAAAGCAAAAATTGTAATAAATAACTTAATTGGTCTATTCTGTAAGACAAAACTAAAGCACTTGGGAACACACTTTCGACTTTTTAATTCACTTGTAATGAATTCAATGGGCTATGCGGCCCCAGTTTGGAGTATGGATAAATTTAACGATTTCGAAAAAATACAGAATATATTTATACGCAAGATATTCCAGTTAGAATTTAATATCCCGGGCAGTGCTTTAAGACTAGAAACAAATAGATTTAGACTAAACACTATATTAATAAAAAGATATTTAATGTTTCTACAAAAAATTATTAAGGCAGAAGACATAACAACAAAATTACTGTTTTTACTATATCACAAATCAAAGGAAACGGATTTAAGACGAAGTTGGATAATACATCTATCGAAGATAGTAAATAAATACGGATTCTCTATTAAATTGTTGTTGGATCGTACACATAATATGGAGCAGTATAGCAAAGAAATAATATACAGAGCTATGGAGCTCTCCATCGTTCAAGACATGGAAGACATAAGAAAACGGGAGAATACAAGCTGGTATGCAACAATTTTAAATTACCCAGTAAATAATAATTATATATGGACGAATCTAGCTTTTAACATCAAAAAGTTTTTTATACAGATTAGGTTAAATAAAAATGGAATAATTATAAACGATAAATATATAGACTATACCCAAACTATATGTCCAAATTGTACAAAAATGTTATCTAGAGTTCATATTATATGTGAATGCTGTAATGAAAAAGATAAACTACAAAGGCTCCAGATGGGACTGCTGACTAATTGTAATAGTGAAAAGGAGATGTTTAATACTTTTGACAGAGCTAATACTAACACGATTTATATGTTATATAACTATGTTAAACAATTCACTAAATGATAATTATAACAAAATATTAATGTAACTCTATAGATCTGTAAATAGTATATATCAGTGTTGTTAAGACATGATTATATGTGATGTTAATACGCATTGTTAAAAAAATCAAACGCCCTTGTAACAGGCGAAAGCCTTTTACGCCAAATAAAGATGATTATGATTATGATTATGATTATGTTCATTTATAGATATAGTATTATATCTTATTGATTGTATTGGAACAAACAAACCTATATAAATCATCTCAAAATACTATATCTTTTGTTGTTATAAATGATTGTTTTCTATGTTGAAAATAATTAAAATGGATGTAAATATTTCAAAAATTTTTGTATGTTTGTAAAATTTTTGTTCAGCTGTTCATAAAAATGTAATATTTTATATCAAAGCAGATAACTAGTTTTTGTGGTTTTTTTTGTATTTGTGCAGAGGCATAACCTCTAAAGAAACGTTGTCTCTGCAATGGAAATAGTTGTTCCTGGTGATTGGACATGGCAAGCAAAATTGGACTGGTATCCAGAAGTATTTTACTTTTTATTAAATTGTAATTCTGTCAGCCCTTTTCTACAAACAAATAGATCTTTTTTATCATAAATCTCTAAATGTGTAACTATACTTTCATGGATTTTTTTCTATACATGATAAAGATTCTTAACCATTCCACAAAGTTTTTTTATGGTATTGTCACATGGTCAATGTATCATTGGATAAATTCATAAATATTCTTTTTAAAAAATATGTTAAAAATAAATTATCATATTAAATTGTTGACTCATGGAAGAATTTTTTTCTGTTTTAGAAGTGACAATTTTATAATATCTTTAATAAATTCTTAAACAATGATTTCATAAGTTGTATACTACTTATATTATTACATTTTTTTGTAAGAGATAACAACTTTTTCCTTTATTTTTGGCCTTGAAATATCCAACAGCTGAAATTAAGATCATAAAAATGTAGTAGTGAAACTGAAAATTCTTTGCTATGCACCATTAAAAAAGGAATGTTTAAGTTACTTCATAGCTTTCCAGAACACAATTATACTAAACATATAAATAACATTAAGAAATTAGAAAATATCATTATATTAGCTGATACATTGCATTTATCTAACAACAGATCAAATTTGTATGAATCATAGAGGGGAAAAATTAAATAAATAAATTGAGCATACTTTGAGTCAAGTGAATCATACAAAGTCAAATGCATGAAATATTTAACAAGGTATAATAATAGTATGTTTTATTTAAAATATATGATCATTTAACATTTATTTTCTATATAAAATATACACTTTTGCATAAAAACTATAAAATTATCACATATTTTATATTTTTTTAAATTTTATACACAGCTATAACTATACTGAAAGCAATTATTTATTTTACCCGTTAGAATTTATGCTTTTAATTTGGCTTGACTAATTTGAACAAATGTCAGAAAAAACACACTTTATACATCTACAATTCATCGTGTTCACTACATATACATGCTTCTGCTTGTGAATCCAAAAATGCTTTACATCCTAGAGCTTGAACTCCCATGTGAAACAGCTTGGAAATTCCAGTGCATTCTAAAATAAATAAAATTTTAAAATCTTGAAAATCATGATATATAAAAATATTTAATAAACATGAAATAACAATAAATATTTTTATAAAAGTAATCAACAATATACCAGAAAAGAGATAATCATTCTGTAGTGCCCTAGTTTAAAGTATAAATATAAATTCTGGAAGAATGAATGAATGAATGAATTTTATGATATTCACAGATGAGAACGGCCAACTTGTTAATATTTTAATAATTATCATAAATTCTAAAAAGGCCATTTAAATAGAAATAAAGATAATCATCATCATCATCATCATCATCATCCTCCATCCCTTTACTTCTTACAGAGGAGTAAGTCATACTAGACTCCCAAACTATCTATCTTTGAACTACCTCCTCATTTAAATCATCTTGTAACTGTTTAAAATTTTTCCAATTACCAACTTTTCTTTGGGTTACTTCTACTTCATACTTTTTAAATTTGTCTTAATTCTGCTAATCTCCTTTCTTCTAACCACAGGCTCAAGCCACCTAAGTCTATTTTCTGTTCCAAGTCATTATATTTAGGCAAACAAACTAATCTAGATCATTTTTGATTTGAAGCACACGACTGCATGTGAGATGTTGGTCAAAGCAAGTGATCACTCACCATGATGATGCAGAGCACAGGGACTAGGCAGTAGTACTGGTTCAAGTTAAAAACTGTTTTTGGTCAGTATGCATTAATGAATTTATTATTTGTTATTGGCACTGATTGCAGTGCCTATAACAAATAATGCTTGCAAGCATGATGTCTGCAGGCAAGATGGCAATCAGAACTGCCACCATTGGGTTTCACATTTGGAGATAAATATCTTGCAAAGGGTCGGGTGTCAGATTTTTCTTCATTCTTTAACAATAACTATCATTAGAATGTCTGATCACTGTGATGTACTGTTGGTTAAACATGCGATAGACTTAGCGGAGCGTGCAGTGTGACTCCCTATGTCTACTGGAAGTAGACTTTAGGCTGATTTTGAAGGGCTATATCTTGCAAAGGATCACATTTAGAGGTATGATTCCTTTGACTTTTTCGTTCCTATGGACATGGTCTACAATTCTGTTAAAGTCTCAACAGTGTCATTCACATTTACAATCTTACCTTAGTTTCTGATTTGTATTTTGATAGTCATTGCATTATAAGGACATACAATTTAATTATTAAGGGGTAAAACATATGGAGAAGCATTTATAACCAACACTAAGACAGGACATAATTCCTACTATTTTTCAGAAACAGAAGGAACAAAGAGAGAAAACTGCAGAGCTGACCATAACCAAAAATCATGGAAGACTCCTGCATCCTTCCAAACAACTTCTGCATTTACTACTGTTATGTGAAAAATACATTTCTCAGTATGTAGAAGAAAAGAAATTTGTTATTGTTAGAATATTTGATGATATTGTAACAGATAGCAACTTGGTCTTAATCACTTTAGGATGTAAAGATGATTACATACAATTAGTTTCACACGTAATTCAGTTTTATATGACAACAATAATTCATTTTTTTACAAGAGAAGTTAATAAGTTTATAAGTAAAACAGTTATCAATAAAAATGCTAGAAAACTATTTAAATTGTAAGTAACCAATAGAATAAACTTATATCTACTGAGAAACTTTTAATTTTCATTAATGTTCTCAACTTATTTCACAAATCATCATCAGATGAATCTATATTTGAATATCAAAGAAGATTAAAAATATGAAGGTTTACAATATAGCATAACGTACAGCATAATTATGTTACCATACAAATAAAATAAAAAATAAATAAATATAGAGAGTGATTAAATAAAAATACAAAAAATAAAAAAATGTAATATTTTGTGTTAACAAGAAATAATATTGCATTTAGTTTTAAACTAAATATAATAAATTAACTATATTATATATAGTTCTGAAATGAACTAAAATTTATTGGACTGATATTCATGTTTTTTATTTCTTATTCAATGTATTCATAGTTTATGAATAGGATGCCTATGTGTAGTAGTTTGGTGTAATTAGTAAACTCAATTTGATTGGCTGTTGCACTACAGCAACAACCAATCAGACAGTGCTTCATCATCATTTAAAGATTGGCAATCAAACTTACATTCTATTTTTGAACACTAAACCATAACCTGATGATGATGGCTGAAAGCTATTGAAAATGTTTGTTTTTAAGTAAATATTATGTGTTTTTTTTTTATTAGATTTGGACTTAATTTGATGTTATTCATAATTTATATAGTTTTTGTGGTTGGTTGTTTTACATTAATATTTGTTTCATGTGGTAAAATTTTAATAGTAACTTTTCAGCAATGTATACATAATTCTAATCCTTGTAAAATTTAGCACCTTATTTTCTGAATGTAAGCGTCACATAATCTTTATTTTTCAAATTTATTCATAGATTTGAAATTCAAAACATTTTTTGGTACATTCAAAAATAGAACATTTGTCTGTATACACCTGATCTAACATAAAATCAAAAATGTTTGTCAGAGCTCTGTGCTGGTGATCCCTTTTAACTCAAACCTGACAACAACAGCAGCATTGTCAAAAAATTAAAATTCTACACCAAAACTTGATCCAAAAGCATCTGCAATAATGCCCAACCACATGCATCACAAACCACAATACTAAATATAACAAAACAATACTGAACTGGGCAATAAAATTTTGCTGTATTCATCACAGGACCTTTCTTTGACAGACTAAAATGCTGCTTATAATTTGGAACTCTTTTTAAGAATCAAAATATTCCCCAATTGTGCAGAAGCCAATTGAAAGATTTGAACAATTTGTACAATATAAAAATGACAAATTTTATAAAAATGGTATGTGCCATTTAATATTCAGTTGAAAGAAAAATATTAATGTTAATAATGCAAATTTTTATTGGATAAAACTTATTTTTCTGGAAATACAGTATTTTCAACTACAAAAATCACTATTTTATATGGTAAAACCTAATACAATACAATAATATAAAGAACAAACAATAAAAAAATTTTAAATATTTTTGTTATTCTTCAATGGTTTCATTATTTACCAAAATGGAATAAAGACATGCAAGTATACTTGCATGTCTTTATTCCATTTTTATCCCTTTCAATATAGCAGCCAGGTGGATAAAACCACTGAACAATGATATATACAGTAATTGTGGGTTTGTAACTCACCAATTGGCTGGCTATATGGAGTTTCTTTGAGCTTTCTACACATAGATACAGCTAACAGCTAAATAGGGGCAAGTTTCCCACAGAAGTTCTCCCAGAAGCTAGCCCATTGGCAGATTGCCACATGTGTTGCTTTATCCAATCCTGCAATCCCTTCATCATTATATACAGAAAAATTTTTCTGATTTTAGTTTTATTTTATTACTTTTTTAATTTTATTGAAATTAAAATCAATAGCTCCATTATAACATATCTGAAATCACCAACAAATACAATAGTCATATTAATATTTTTATCATTTTGTATTTTATTCTTTTTTCAATAATAAATTATGATTATAAATAATGTTAATATAGTACACAAAATACAGTTATTACAGTGTTATAATGTAAGATTGTTTGGGTGTGTTTCAATGTAACCATATTTAAATTCAGATTCTAGAATGTTTAAGTCAGATGTTTTAAAAAAGACAATTTAAGAAAAAGATATTAAAATAAACTTACTTCTTACATCATCCTTCAGGTGTTTGGCTTGTTTCTCACATTTATTATAAAGACACTTTTCAAATTCTGAATCACATTTAAATTTGGAACTCATGCATGTACCATAGCAAATATCATGTTTATCACAGCACTTATGAACATCTTTTAGTAATGGAAGATTTAATATAACCTGTAAATAAAATTACTCTGTATATATTAAGAAGAAAATGTACAATAAAAAAAATTAATCATCAAAAATATCACAAAATTCCATAAAATATATACAATAGACTCAAAATCTTCTAGCCCAATATGCCATGTCTTCAAGTTTTTTTTAATATAACAAAGTACAAAATAATTATATTTATGTAATTATTTTGTACTTTTTATTGCAGTACAATATTATTAAATGATCATATTGCATAAAAATTTGATCACAAATATTTTCACAAAACATACAGTTGTTCTGCAGATAATGCATCACAGTATCTACAGGCATCTTACTGGCTTTGCTGAAAATTTTGTATTAAAACATTATCACATGTACTGTACTGTACATTAAAAATTACAGCTGAAAAACAAACCATATATAGGATGCATTAATTTGGCATCCTATACGTGAATTTCTAATTGAAAATTCTAACATTTACTATAGGAGTCTCAATAATGTAGACTGGTTACTTTTCAAATGAATATATCTTTGGCAGCAGTGATCTGTTTTCCTGCAAAATTTATTAAACCACACAGATACACTGATAGTATATTTTGTAACATTAATAATAATTATTTATTATGGCAAACCACTTGTATAGCAATACAAGGTACCAGTACACTATTTTCTGCTTTTGATTGTGGACAACTGCCTGCCTGATTACATGGCAAAGTACATACCAAAATGTTTGGCATACTGATCTTTCTGGTTGGTGAACCAGAAACATCAGTATGCCAAACATTTTATATATAGACTCACTTCAATTCGATATGTATAAAAAAACTAATCAATGACAATTGAATTCTGAAATATGGGACATTTTGGCATCTCAATAGTTATCAACAGGACAACAAGACAAAAAGACTGTCCCAGACAATATGATATATCTAGTCACTTTACATAAAAAAAATATTAATTTATTTGTATATTAAAATATTAAATATGTTGAAAATATTAACATCTTAAATTAACCAAATATAACACTTAAAAAATGCAGTTTATATTTAAAGGAGTGCTTTATTTAACACAAACATTTTCAAAGTGTTGTTGGTTTGCCTTTTGAAGCAGTTCCAAAACAGAACAGTTTATATTATGCAGCTGATTCAAAATTTTAATAAAAATTTTTAAACAAAATCTGTATAATTAAGTGGCTTTGCAAGTGCACAGACTTTATTTAAAATGTTTAGAGCAGCTAATGCCCATACTTGTAAGTTTAATAGAGACTCTTTGCATTCATTAAATCCATAAAATTTGGAATCTTCCATATAATTTAATCTGTTCAATTTTAGAATTATATCTGATGTCAATGACAAAAAACATCATTGATGTTCAGGAAGTCCTTCAATATAGGAGCCATAGCAGCTGTTTGTAAATAAATGCATATTAACAATAAATGTACGCATGCATATAAAAAATAAAAAAAACAGCATTAAATTAAAGGGAAAAAACCCAATCTGTTATTGCATAAATAAAAAAAGAAAGTTTTACATTCTTGACAACACAAATAGCTGTTGAAGCACTTCTAGATCATCTGGTATTATATAATAAATTTCATTTTAATATTTTTATTAACACACTTGAAACATTAATTAATATGGATCTATGTCCTTAATTTAATCAAAATTATTCTTTCAATCACTATATCAGTGTATTTCTATTAATAGGACTTATCATACTGGTGTATAGTATTAATAGTATAGTATAGTATAGTATATAGTGATAAGTCCTATTAGTAGAAATACACTGATATAGTGATTGAAAGAATAATTTTGACACTTGAAACATATTTGAAATATATGGAAATTAATAAACAGAAAATTACAAATTTTACCTGAATTCCATAAGATCCACATCCCTGAGGTACAGGATTATAATTTTTATTTCTTTTTAGTCTTTTTCCTATGAAAATAAAAATAGTTTTTAATTCTTGTGTGAATAAATTCTTAATAAAATTATGTTTAATCTATTTATAATGATAATTTTTATATTCATGATAAAGAATATTTTTATACAAATTTTATAAATTTAAATCTATTAACATATTTTAAATTATTAAAAATAAAGAAAATGTTTTGATATCAGTTTTAAGCAAAAATTCATATTAAAATTATCTCAATTTCTATTATGGATATACCTACAGTTTGAATTGTAAAGTTGTAGAGGAGGTAAAACTTAACATTTTGTTCAGTTAAAAAAAGATAAAGACAGTGCACCATGCACTCCTGAAAATTTTAAAGGTTGTGTAAGTTTGGCTTTCCTGTAGTAGTGAGCTACTTTGTAAGTGTTTGATTTTCAAGCTATAAGTAGTTTGTGATAAAGTTATCAGCAAAGAATACATTTTGGTTTCGTTAAAGATCTCACAGGACTAAAAGAAGGTTATAATTTGGAGCTTAATATTTTATTGCACCAGAAAGTGAAAAACAAATGAAAAAGAATAAAAATTTTTCCAGATCACAAACATACATCTAAATAAAAATAAATATCCTCATTTTAGCATGTTCTATATAAAGTTTGGAGTTATTAAGGCCATAATACACTAGAAGATTTCTCATCCAAAGAAATGTCTCCAATCAACAAAACCCTGTTGACTTTCAGCAATGTTTAGACACAGGAGACAAGTTGCTGGAATTATACGATCAAAATTTCTACCTAGTAATAGTAAATTTTTGCTAATGGTGCAAAAGCACATATCTTTGAGTACCTTGTTAGGATAATCTTTAATAGTATGGTTATACCGTAAATTGGTTCTTATAATTGAAGCAATAAAATTAAACGTTGTATCCCATTGATGAGCGACTATTCTCCATTTTTATTTTTGTGTTGTAAACAAGAACTGTACTCGTATGATAAATCTATGCACACTCATTGGTTACAACGAGCGATAGGAGACTTTTTGTCTCCTAAAAGTTAAAGCAATTTGATTCTCCAACAACTATTCTCCCACTGCCCGAGAAACAGGTTTTTCTGTTGCCCAGCAACATGTCTCCCACAAACATCACCTAGTGTATCACAGCCTTCTAGTTTTATATAGGTTTCTACAATTTGCCTTTCTAAATCTGCAGCTATATTTAAAAAACTGGTGTTTCATACACACAGTCTTTTAAATATCCTACCAAAAAATATCCATAGGACTAAGATCAGAGGATCTTGGATGCCATTCAGTGGACCATGTGGGCCACTCTACTCCAAAGAGGTCATTAAGCCATCATTGAATGTCTCTAGCAGCATGCAGTGGTGCACACATTTTGGAAGACCTATATTGTAATTTTTATAACATTACAGTGATAATTGTTACAAATTACCTGGAGGGCATTGATATTCGCAAGGTTTTCCTTGAGAATATTTAACTACTTCTTCCACAGCATCCAAACTTTGTCGAACTTGTTTCACTCCAAATGACACATCATCCATAACGCTGGAGATACCGTCCAAAAGTTCTTTAACTCCTTGAATAACTGTTTCTGATCTCAAGCATGATAATAAGCACATAGATAATATACATAATAATCCTTTCGTCGAAATTAATCGATTGATATTCATATTCATACTAAAATTACTCAATTTCGTCTATCCACATGTTCTCCCAATAAAATAAATACACGACTTTTAAAATTCGTCACAGTACTAACGTGATGTTACTACTGTGACGCGTTTTTAAGTTAAGTCAAGTTACCGAAAATATATTTCGGTATGTGTAAAAATAACATTTAAAATATAAATAGTTTCAATTATTTCTCAGTAAGTATTTAAAGCAGCGACATTAATTTCAAAACAAATATAGTTTCGAAATAAATTAAATTATCATTTTATTTTTGATTAATTTTGTTTAAAAATGATTTAAAAAATAATAATAATAACAAATTTTGTAAATAAATCAAAATGTAAATTTATGTAACCACTAGAGAGCCTGTCACTTTTTATTGTTGGCCCTCTAGTGGCTAGATCAAATTTTTTTTATTTATAAGAATAAGCGGGAAAAGTAGTTATTCGTAAATAAAAATAACAAGTTGTTGTTGCTATTTTAAAATAACTATTAAAAATAACAGTGAAGATAACAACTGTTACTAGTGCTATACGTAGTCTTCAAACACGGCCTCTTACTTGTTAGACATAACCTGACGTCACAAGAACGATTATGATGTCACCAAACCAGCGTTGCCAGATTTGGCTACTTTGTGCCAAATTGAGCTACTTATTTTTCAGTTTGGCGTTAAAAAAGCATTTGGCGCACTGGCTACTTTTTGGGCTACAAAAATTTGACTTGGCTACATTTTGGGCTGGTTACACAAATTATTTCATCCTTTGTTTTGCGCACAGAACGGTAAAGCCGGATGCACACATGCGGTGCGGCAAGGAAAAGCGGTGTCGCAAATGCATCTTCGCCGCGCAGCAGCACAGCCACACAAGCGGCAATCCGCTTACATTTCGGCGCATGCGTTCAGTATTCAAGATGGCGAACGATACCGATATTGTCGCTATCCACGTTTTTATAAATTTTGTTTTGTGCGGCTTGCTTTATTTAGTTAGAGGATTCGAACGAAGATTTTGGATTAGAGATATTTTCTTGGATCGGTAAAGAACTGGTGTACAAAATACGCTTATTCCTCGATAAAGAATACTATTTTGAGTAAGATTCGGTTGTTTTGTTCTTTGAATTAAATTATATATGATTAATTGTGTAGAATTTGGGTTAAATTTATTATCCTTTCCTCTTTATTCTGATATTAGTTATCTCGGTTAACAGCGCCGAACTTTCCGCCATTAAAACACCACGTAGATTGTATTTTCTCACGTGACTACCAAACGAACTGTTATTGGCTGATAGAAACGCGTCTTGGCGGCGGTTGCCGCAAAAGATAAAATTCAACCAACTTTTGCGGCACGAGAAAAACGGCACAAAATCGACTTCTGCGGAGAGAAAAAGTGACGTCATCCTGCCGCTTTTCCTTGCTGCGCCGCATGTGTGCATCCGGCTTTTAAGATTTTTTTCTAGAAGCCATTCTTTCCGAAAGGACCGAGAATACTTTGGGGAAATTTTCCTCATTAAGTTGCATTTTTAAATATTTTGGCAAATGGCGTAATTTTAAATTTACTTAATTAAATTTAAACTTTTTAAAAAGATAGCTCCAATAAGTATTCAGTCATGCTTGACAGGAGACTTTTTAGTTTATAATAGCTTATTTTTTAAAGAAAATTTAATATAAATTCCAGATAAATGATATCCTAGAAAGAAAGAAATAAGAAAAGAAAATGCATCTATAAACAAAAATGACTAATGGTAAATGCTATGCTATACGGAATGGTACCAAACATGGTTACTAGGGCGTAATTTTTATAAATTTTAATTGTTTTTGATAAAATTAGTAACAAATAACGTTACGCTAATTGCAACTGTTTGCCAATGTCAGCTTCTTGTAAATGTCTTATATAGTGTTACATGTAACATACAAAATTCATATATTACAAGAATGCTATTATTCCTCAACAACAATCAAATGAGCAAAATGAACATGAAGTACTAAAATTTGAAATTATCACGTTGAAAAATCACTGGTAAGATCATCATCATCAGAATCTTTTTCACTAGAATGTTTTTGTAT